TGATATTATAAACTGATGTGACAAATTATTTAGTTTTCAATAAGAAAAAAAAAGATGCAGCGTACGGTTTCAAATCAAAACGATATGTATCGTGTTGTAGACTCTGTATCTGGACATGTATCATATTGGGAGGTCATGAGAAATACCCAGCTCTACCACTCTGTAACTGCAGTTTGACAAACATCTGTAAAACTTGAGGCTCACATGAGTAAACAAACAATAAAATGGCAAGCATTTTCATTCAAATCAGCTAGCAAATTTATATCAGCAATGAACTCAGTTCATCTGCAGTGTCCGATATATCTATTTAACATTGCACAACTCTATTCTCAGGTTTGCTTTGCTCTGTAAAATGTCACAGTTGTTTCTCTGTATCATCTCACTTCCACTGATGCGGGCCACTGGTATTGTCGAAGGCAAACCGCTAGACCGGCACATGAAAGTTTTGTTTCTCTATCACACCGCTTTGGGGCTCCCACAGCAAACAGTGCCGGGCTGCTGAGATTACTTTTGCAATGTCAAGATATTTCTCATCTCCACTCTGAATCAACACTGGCAGTTCTTCCATCACAGGCTGCTGTGTTTAAACTAACCTGTGAAAAGTATTGAGGCATTGGCTCAAAGGCTTGTGGAAAAGTGGCATATTACTTCTTTAAATGAAACTAAATTGCTTCCAAATCTTGAGTTTGTACAAGACCTGAGCTCTCTCTCACTGAGAGGAAGAAGTTCAAAGATGCAAAAGGGCAAGTTCAATGCCTTCAGTGCATGAATCCAGATCATAACACGTGTGTAAAGTTGTGTTTCAACTTAAAGTACCCGGGACTCAAAGGCCTGTGACATTCAGTTAATGCGGTATAAAAGTACCTTCAGTCGGTAGCTTTCTGTGTTTCCAACACGCTCTAAAGACCAGTGAAGATTAGGCAAAAAGTCTGCTAAAATGCAAAGGAGTCTTCTGAGGCTGCAGTAATTCATTTTGGGATTAAAATCTCCACTTTCACTCGCATAAAAGGGTGGAACATTAGTTTGCTGCAACCTGCACAGAACACGCTATGCACCAAGAATGATCTGGGAGTCATTCAAGGCAACGGAGCCCCCCGTCTACAAAACCTGCCGTGAAAAAATATGTGGATACTGTGCCAAACACATCAAACTTGATGCAGCAGCTGTGAGATCATCATCAGAGTAATGATACTGTATCATAACGGAGTGATATACGTAATTGGGTTCGAATCCGACCTGTGGCTCCTTTCCCGCATGTCATTCCCTAATCTCTCTCTCTCCGATTTCCGGCTCTATCCACTGTCCTATCTCTCCAATAAAAGGCACAAAATGTCCAAAATAAATCTTAAAAAAACACTTTGAAAGACATTATTTACAAGCACCTAATGTTTGATTATGACATAGCCTATTGAGCATGCCATGCAAATCAAATATTTTATTTTGTTAACAATAGGCACATTTTATATAAAGAAGGTTTGGTAAAGTATTGTTGAAATTGAAACAAATCGTATTTGATAAATTTCTTGTTCTGTGTTTTGTAGGTTGTTTGAGAAAAAATCGGTTAAAGTAACAATTAAAAACACGTGGCCTTACTCAACTAAGTCACGATGAGAAGCACATTGAGGCATACTGTATCTCAAAGCAGTAGTGCTAATCTCTTATTAGTAGGCTTAATTCTGACTGAAGAAGGAGCCACTCCCACTAAGAAGAGGAGTTGCAATGACTAAAAAACAAAACAGAGCCAGAGAACATTTGGCAACAATTACTAAATCTGTCAGGCCACAGAGCTTAGCTTTCAATATGTGTTAATAACCGTAGAGGGACATGAACACAAAGTAAACAGAAAAAAAAATGTGCAAAAGTCTTATAGGTTAATGTTTCTGTCTAAAAAAAAAAATGTTCTTTTAGCACTAGTTTCTTAACTGTTAATGTTTTGAAAGAAATCACTCAGGGAAATTCACAAATGGAATTTAACTATAACTGATGAGTCAGCAAGTCTTAACAAGCCCCACATTGGTATATCTCTTTGAATGCCTTGCACACAGATTTAGTTTATCCTCAATCTCGCTAAATCCTGTGAAACAAGTCTCTTATTTCCCACTATAAAAAATAAATATACCAATAACTCACCCAGAGTGGCACAGTGTATGTCACTGAGGTATATTACTCCATCTGTGGCTTCACTGTATCCCAGTCTTTTGTTACATTAAAGTTAAATGTTTGCAGAAAAACCTGTTTGCACAGGGTATTTCTGCGAGAGTGAAAAGCTAATATGGACTGTAGGAACAACAAAGACACAGTGAATGTGTGTGGATATCATTTCACTCAACTCAAAGGTCAGATTCTCCTTAAACCACAAAAACTCATTATCTCCTAAACTGCTCTGGTATAAAAACACATGTACCAGTCAGTCAACAGACTTGTTAATACATTAGAAAAGTGAGTTAAAATTGTGTTTTTCCTCAACTCCACGTAAAGTTAAATTGGATCAGGACATTTTGAAAATGATCTCATTGGCTATGATTGAGGCCAGTCCCCTTTCTGAACCTTTGTGTACTGAAGGTTGCTCTGGTCAAGATATACCAGCCATGCAACGACACACATAAATAAAAAAGGAGCCGGGGAGTCTCAATAATATCAAGGCTGACAGTGTGCATCCACAGGTAATGTCAGCAAAGCTACTCAAAGCCTTTTAGAGGAAATCAACGTGGAAAATGTATATTATCTTAAGAAAAATGTAAGTATTAAATTACTGAAGCTACGTACAGTAATTTACTTTGTCATGATACACTTTAATCAATAAAATGTTTTATAGTCGCACAAAGTTGCTGGACTTGCTGTAAGTCAATTATCCTGCAAAATCTACAATGTGAAGACAGCAATGCACCCAAAAAATCCACTTCAAAGTAACCCCAGATTAAAACTTTACTGGAAAAGCATTTCAACATAAATCAAAATACAGTCAGGCCCAAAATAACAAAATGAGCAATGTCATTGCTTTCAGACCAAAAATGCGGTGTAGACATATGAAGCCATTAAGTGAAGCACCTCTGCAGGAGCAACAAGAAGGAGCCACTGTGAGAGATCAGACCAGAGACAGTGTGCATGCAACAGCTGTTTCCCTGGTGCTTCTACAGTAACAGCTTCAGGGTAGATTGTCAAAGAGAAAGCCACAGTTGAAAATAACTCACATGACAACTCCTCCACTGTTTTGCCAGAAGGCATGTGGGAGAATCTGAAATAAAGTGAAGTGGGAAAGTTGTAGTCTGGACCCTATTCAAATTGACAATTAGTGACAGGACTTGTAGGAGGATAACTATTGACTCATGGTCCACATGTATTTTGACATACATGTGGTCCACATGTATGTCATGTGGACCACATGTATTTTGACATGAGACTCAAAGTATTAGAGTCCAGATGTGCAAAACATTGATTTGTACATGCCAAAGGGTGGTTCTACTCAATACTGACACATGCAGAACTATGTTCAGAAATTATGTAAAGATTTTCTCGGCTCTCATAAAATGCTGGCCAGTCAACAGCCACAGTTTTTTTTTTTTTTTTTTACAGTTAATTGCAAAACTTGGTTCCTTTTAACAGATTAGTTTGGCTTCACAGAAAATTGACAAGATGGTATTGATAACAACTCCATAATAGATTCTGCGGACAAAGTTTTTAACCATTCGTGATCAATATTCTTAGATAAATAAAGTGGGTTTACAGTTTCACAGCACTTAAAGTTACGGACCAACACACGAGCATGAATTATTATTATTTTATTTTTTTTGTGCGATGCTCAACTGTTCACAACAATGTTCATTAACTGATAACCTCGGAGGCAAACAATTCTGATGCGCCAGAACATTTTAAATCATCATAAATTCTCAAATCCTATCCCAACCTGTTTTGCCTCCCTGACGAACAGTTTGTGGTCTGATTTGTTTACTCTTTCTTTGACTTCCACAAGCATCTATTACATTTATACAGCCCAGTGAAAACACTGTTGCGATATTTAAGATCCAACTAAGCTGCTTACAGAGGTTTTCAGACAGGTGTGTTTCCATTTGACTGAGCGCAGGTGTGCGAGTGTTAATGTGCTTCAGGAACAGTTTTCCTCTACATCTCCACCAAAAAAAAAAAAAAAACACAGTGTCAAACAAGAACAAGGGCATAAGGTGTGTTATTTCCTTTAAAAGGTATTTGAATTAGATATGCTCACACACACATAAGCTCTACAAGCTGTTAGTGGTGTCTTTTAAAAATAATAATAATTTCTGCTTCCCAAACTGATTAAGCAGGATTGAGTAGATGACATCCTGCAGACCAGAGTGACAGGTGTTTGAGAAACAAAACGAGGCCAATCAAAGCTGGCAGGGGAGGAACAGCATCGCCTAGCTTTTCACCAGCTTTAACCATTTTATTTCTCATGAAACCACTCACCTTCACTGAATGACAAGCAACTCCAAATTATTACAAGCTACTACCTTCACAACAAACAACTGACCACGAGCAAATTAAGAGCCACGCAAGTAAAACTCACCTAGGTCTAGTTTAACACAGTGTACATGTTACAGGTTAGGTTTATCCTCACTAACCATTCAAAACAATATCGACGGATGCGCATTAACAATTGTGGACCCTAAATCATGTCTGTAAGCCCCCCCCAGGAGAGCCAGGTGAGTGAGTGCCTCATCGGGAAGACGAGGAGATATCGCATTAGCTATCTGGCTAATGTTAGCAAAGCTCTATTGTTAAGAAATCTCATTAGTGCCTAGCTTAATAACAACGTACATGTGGCGTCCCTTTGCCATCCTGCTATCGGTTTCAGATACCGTTAGAGCATGTTTATTGTTTCCTCCTCACACCTATCCGCTATCTAGCCAGCGTTAGCTTAGCCTGTGACGCTAGCGGCTCACACATGGGTTGATGATGATGATGATGATGACAGCGATGTAGGCAAAACCACGAAAACGTATGCGAGAACAAAACACACTCACCCAGAACCACCTGGACACTCTGAAGATCACCTTCGAGTCATGGTGAGGTGAGAGCGGCTGTTATCTGAAGGAAAACGTCGTTGAAGTGAAAAGCGGGCTAAGTTTAATAGGAAAAATGTTGTCGCGACAGACGGGCTGAGTGAGAGGGGGAGAGAGGGCTGACAGCTCAGTGGGACAGACTGAGTACTACAGCGGTAGTGAACTGGCCTGAACTGGCTGTCTGACGGCAGGAAGTGACGCTACGTGACGTCACGGTGGGGGAGACTACGCAAGGTGAATAGTGCGCCCCATCACCAATAAATTCATGTAAGCAATTAAAGTAAAATGTTCAATCAGTGTCATGTGTAGCAGCAGGGAATGGCCGGAAAAAAAATTACAGATGTTGGCAACGTTATAAGAAAGTGATGAGGCATTGTTAGTCTAACAGTGGTACCCTATATCAGCAACAAATTCGGATTTCAGAGATTAAAATGTTGCACCAGTATTGCACAAATGCATTGAAGGCTGGCCTTTTCATTTGGCTACAAGCTGATTATGTGAAATTCACATTTATGTTGTGTCAAAATTGTATGGCTGTTTTTATATTGTGCTCCCATTAGCTTATATTTCTACTAGATATGATAAGATAATACTTTATTTATCCCACAATGGGGACGTTTACATTGTTACAGCAGCAAAGAGGAAAGATTGCAGACAAAAAGTGAACACATTACAATTTAAATAAAAAATTAAGAAAAATTAAGAATTTACAAAAAAAAAATAGACACTAAAAAATAGATATTAAAAAACTACTACTACTAAATGTTGTATAAAGTCTGACAACTATAACCTAGTTAACATATCCATTAATCCAGGAAGTATATATGCAAGTATTCTTAACCTCTCACACAAAAATACACTGTTATGTGCTCAGAGGTGATTTCAGTCAGGATCAATAATCAAATTGCCTGTTAAGGTTTTAGTAAGGACTCTGCAAGCACTGATTTAGTTTGCACTTCTATGAAGTTAAGGTAGGTCTTCATAACTCCAGACAGATAGACAAATAATTATCTGAAAATGTTCTTTTTTGTTAGACTTTATAAAGTTATTTCCGAGCAATATAATTTACAAAGCTGTTTAACAGAGTGTTAACTTACTAACAAGAACCTCACATGTCAAAATGTGCAGTCCACTTTATACAAATAATTCACACAGTCTATGTTAACTAATTATTTTTCCAGAGTTATTGAGTAACAGCAAGGTAACTATTAATCAGTGCTCAGTTTCTCATAACGCATTCACTGCAACTATTTCAGAGTTGTGTATCTCCTGAACAGTAAACCCTCTCCCTCCTCCAATTCTGGCCAACTCTAGCAAAAATGTCCAGCAGGCTCAAATCATCACACATCTTCCCTGCCCTCTGCAGAGGAGCGACCACTGACGCACGAGCCAAGAAAAACAGAAAGGCCCGTTCGCCACTGCTGCTTCAGATGTGCTAATCCATGCTCTTCATCACCTCTGCAAACAAAATTCCACCTTTTTATAGGGACACAGTTTGTTGTCTTTGGTTCAGTCTCAGAGGTGACAACGAAGAGGCCCAGAGGTAGACTAGTGCTTGCTCAGCATTCATGACATCTGACGGCTTTAATGGAATACAAACACCTCATTTCTGTCTTTGCTTTTTGAATTATTTGTGAAACACTAAAAACAGAAACTTGCTTTTGACTGATTGTTTTAGCAGCATTAAAGTTCTCAGATTTACATCAACCATAAAGATGATGCACCCAGAACCACTAAGAAGAAATATTTTGCAATATGAGCCGAGGTTAACTAACCATTATGTGTGTGTTATATGATCTAAATAGGCATCTCAGATGTTAAGCCTCTTTAGTAAGCTATTCACATAGGATACATTCCAGCAATATGAGACTGGTCTAGGCATCAGTAAGCACTTTGTGGCTTTTCATTGTTTACATTTTAGTCACTACCTAGAGGATTTCAAGATAAAACAGTTACTATAATAAATAGACATATTTATGAAGAGCTAGCTGAAGTATTTGCATTATCAGTATGGACAGGATAATATGGCTGAAATATAACATTTAAAAAAATCTGCTATTAACAACGATTTCAAGAAGGTTATATAATCTCCATATGTTATGAATAAAGATAAAGAGATAAAGATAAACTTTATTGATCCCCCGTGGGGGAAATTTGTGCATTACAGCAGCTCCAGAAAACAGGGGAAAAACTGGTTTAATTAATTTGTATTGCTGGTATAAGCAATTTTGTTGTTTAACATTATGAGTCATTTCCCTGTCATTTTCTCCAAAACAACACTTAAGGAAATGTAACAGGGAGGAGTAAATTGTGCTTTATAACTTTGCTCTAATCTGTGTATTGTTCCATTATCAGGTTTTAGGAAGTCCCTTCAGTAAAAAATGCCCTGGTCTGTTGCTCCATCATCATCCCCTAAAGCTACAGAGCAAAGAGATGGACAGAGGTCACAGGGATGATGGAAGGACGGGGGAGCCCAGGCCGTCTAGTCTGGGGCTTATCTGCTCCACTGGTCCTTTTCCCAGTCCAGCCCTGATAACCCAGGTCGACTAGCAAAATACAGGATATGACCCAATAACCTTGCAAGGCAGCAGGGGACCAATATTGTTTTATTGGGGGAGGCCTTTTCTTTTAAATTCCCCTTCAGATCAGCTTCATCAGGCTTAATTAATGCTTTCAGGACAGACCTTTGGCAGCAGCTGTAATTTGCTTTGTACACCAACAAACCTGCAACTACAATGCAACCTCCGGCTGTGCCAAGACCTGCAATTTTCAGCCTCAATTTACCCACCAGGTTAAGGTGATGGAAAATATAAACAGTATTACACATTAGTTATACAACCATAAAACAAAATAGAGATAACAGGTCACTGTTTGCACTTCTTTTTATTTCTACTCAAATTAATCCAACAATTGTGTATTACATTACTTATGGTCATCTTTACCACACAGAGTTCTCTGTGGGGGCCCAGACGTTGCACAGGTGCAGAGTTTACAGGGTTTGGGGTGTTTTGGCCATTCTACGAGTGGAAACTCAGCCCTCTCCTGTTGTTTTGCTGTTGGTTCATTCCACTGGGCGTTTGCCTCTTCAAAATCCCACTGAAAAATATGGACAGGTCATAAAAATATGGGGGGGGGGGGGGGGGGGACTACAGCTAAAGGTTTATGATATGTCATGTTCTCCTATGCTTTTATAAGAACCATTGAAGCCAATTAATTTAAGTTTATTTTATTGTTGTGCTTTTAAAAGTTATAAAAGAAAAGGGCCTATAGAGAGTATTTGTACTCTAAAGGTATCCCCCCCCCAAATGGCTAAATGTTCGTTAGCTGTCGCAGTCGGTTCACTTTAAGCATATTTTTTTAATTAAGATTTCTTATTGTGTACGATTTAATGCTGGTTATATATATATATATATATATAGTTAGAGAGCTCTATAGTTAGAGAGCCTGAAATCATATTTTTATGACCCAGGGTGTGTGAGTGAATCAGCTAAATGTCAAGAATGCAAAAGATTTAGACTTCTATGCACACAGTATAAGTCCAGGCCAGGAGGCATCACACAAGAGACCATAAACATGTCCCAAAATAGTAGAGGGTAAAACAGGCCCCCTATAGACAAGGCAAACATTTTGCAATACTTCCTAAGCAGACAGACCCAACCCAGTGCTGGTCTTTAATCAAAGACCCTTTACAGCAGAACAATTGAGCTACAAGGAAAATCTCAAACAAATCCCCCCCCCCCACCCCACCTCCACCTCCACCTCAGTCTCACCCCGACAAAGAGCTAACACTCAGCAGAAAACACACAGACAGCAGAATGGACAATTCAAGCTGCTGGCTGCTCTGACTGCTCAGCTTGTGCAGGGAAGCAAACTACAAATTGTTATGGTTTGTTTATTAAATATTTCAACACTAAAGTCACCTTTCTAAACTGGTTTGGCCCTGCAAACCTTTTCTACAGTTGGGTAACCTGCGGCTTAATGAATACAAAATGTTTTGTTATTAAATAACAAGTGACAGCTTTCAGCAGTCTTGAACTCATAAAGCTCTGTGTATTGAGAATAAAACATTAGACAGCACCAACCTTTACGGAAATGTATCTTCTTACTGATTTACTAAGTAAACAGCTTCTGTGAAGTCTAACTAACAAGTGAAAAAAGTGTCAGAACTGGAGCTCTTCTAATCTGGACTCATCTGGAAATTCCCAGTTGACAAAAAAAGGAGATCTGTTCAGCACTGATCAGCAAAGATTAGCTTTTTATTTTACAGAGTTTCCAGAGTTCTAACAGACTTGCAGACTCATCTGAGCTGCCCCAATAATTCAGGATTTTTTATGCCTTTTTTAGTTCTTTAAATGGCTGAAAGACCTACCGACCAATTAGATTACCCACAAAGTCAAATAAAGTAGCATGTTTTAATGCGTACAACATAGAACATTTTGAGCATTTTTTGTAAAGCCTTTACTTCTCTATACTCACTGTGCCAAAGGCATTCAATTGCCTTTCCTGTTTGTTGAACAGTATCAAGCTGCAATTGTGCACACATCGTTTAGCTTTGTTTCACATTAAATTACATCCTCTGTATTTGTCTTGGCTTACTTGCAGCACAGTGAGGGAGTTTCTCTTGTGGCTGTAAGCTTCAGGGCCTGAAAGGATGAGGCTTGTAATTTCATTCTCCCTTTAACGTAAACCTTTTCAAAAGAGAATACATTATACAATCCAAAATGTCCTCTACAACAAGAATAGTTTCCACTTTAAGTCCTGGGTTAAGATACAAACCCTAATTCTCTGAAAAAGAATCTCTCCATGCACTTTAACCCACAAAATACCTTATACACACACTCATCTCTCTTAAGGGTTTGACTCATCGGTCTTGCATGGATATGCTGACCACTGTCGTCTCACTAAACCTCTGACAGCTGTCTTGATTTACTTCCCTCAGAGTCACATGGTTCATGTTCCTACTGCTGCTTCTTCTTATGAATTCCTCAGAAGTCTGGACTTTTATCTGCTCAAAGTTAAATTGATATCAAGGCCAAGATATTGACAGAAAGAAAGTGTTTCAAGTCTGGAAGAGGGGTTCTTGATTCATTTAAGTGATCACACTGAAACTCTTTTTGAATAACTTCAATTTAGCACTCTCTAGGCGAGTA